GGGGGGAGCGGTAACGGGGCTCGGGCGGGGGGAGCGGTAACGGGGCTCGGGCGGGGAGCGGTAATGGGGGCTCGGGCGGGGAGCGGTAACGGGGCTCGGGCGGGGAGCGGTAACGGGGCTCGGGCGGGGCCCGGCCGCGCTCGGGGCCCCCCGGCACCGCGTCCCCACGAAGCACGGGCACCCTCGGCACGAGCCGCCGGTGCTCCGCCCCCGGCCGGCGTCTGGCGGCTCCCCGGGCAGCGAACGGGGCGCGGCTGCCGGGGCGGCCCCGCTCTGAGCGCGGCGGTCCCGCAGGGAGCAGGCCCGGCTGAGGGCTGGCCTGGTGGAGGAGGACACCGAGCCGTGGCAGAAGGACCCGCAGTTCTCCGGGCTGCGCCGGGTGGGAGGTGTGGATTTGTCCTACATCAAGGGGGACGAGAGCCGTGCCTGCGCCTCCCTGGTCGTGCTCAGCTACCCGGCTCTCGAGGTACCGCCGGCCCGGGCCGCGCCGCCACCACGGGGCCGTGGGGCAGCGGCAGGGGGATGCTGGGGAGGAATGCTTCACCGAGCGGGTGGGCAGGCCCTGCACAGCGGCCGAGAGAAGCTGTGGCTGCCCCTGAATCCCTGGAAGTGTCCCAGGCCAGGCTGGACGGCGCTTGGAGCAGCCTGCGTTAGAGAAAGTTGTCCCTGCCCATGGCAGAGGGTGTGGAATGGGATGGGCTTTAAGGTCACTCCCGACCAAACCATTCCGTGGTTCTGTGTGTGTTCAGCAAAGCTTCCAATTGTGTGTTCCAAAAAAAAACAAACAAAAAAAAAAAACCCAAACAAAAAAAACCAAAAAAACAAACAAAAAACCCAAAACAAAAAAGCAAACAAACAAACAAAAAAAGCCACACACAGACACACACACAAAATGCCTGTAACGATTTAGACAGAAGTTTCAGAAGGTGTGATGCAAACAGCGCCCAGTTGCAGGAGTTTTGTGGGATGGCTGGGAACTCACCCCGGGCCAGAGGAGCTGCAGTGCCTGTTCGGGGAGCTGGTGCCTGGGGGCAGAGGGAGGTGTGTGCAGGCTGCTATGGGGGAGCTCTTGCCAGGAACCAGCTGATAATATGGGCTGTGACATAGGAAAGCTTTTCCAAACCCGCCGTGGGTCTCACTTCTCACAGTCATTTTACTTGAACTAATAAAGATTTTTGGTCTCTTTCCCAGCTTTCAAAATAATACAAAAATTATCTTTCACTTTAAAAGCTCTAACAAGCACAGAAATAAAGTTTGATGCTGTCTGCTGGGATTTTAATGAACTGATTCTCAAGTCCTGCTGTGATCTACAGGGCAAGGCAGGAATCTTTGTTTTGTGGTGCCTTGCACTGTTTCCTATGAGCTGTCCCTGGGTTTAAAAGGGATGGGCAGAGGGCACGAAGCAGAGGAGCAGCTCTGGAATGTGCAGGGGCTCTCTGGCAGGGTGCTGTCTGTGCCTGCCCCAGGTGCTGTACCAGGATTGCCGCATGGTGCCCGTCACCGCCCCGTACGTGGCCGGGTTCTTGGCCTTCCGAGAGGCCCCTGTGCTGGTGGAAGCTGTGCAGAGACTTCAGCAGGAGGAGCCCCAGCTCCAGCCTCAGGTGTGCTGTGTTTCCCTTGTCCCGAGCTGGGCTGTCCTGGCTGCAGAGTCCTGGGGAAGGGGTTCTCCTTCCTGTGCCTGAGCTGCTGGGGCAGGAGGGGCACGGGCAGAGCTGTGCTGGAGCATCCATTCCCTTTCCTTGGGGAGCAGGGATGTGGAGCTGGGACCAGCCAGGCCGCCCGTGGTGTGTGCAGGGTACTGCCAGTCCCACACTGCTGCTGCTTCAGGGTCAGGCACAGGCAGGAAGAGCCTTACAGGGAGAATTGAGGAACCAAGAGAGATTTCTTCTTCCCCCAGAGCCAGAAGCCCTGCTTGCTCCTTGGAGTGCTCTCAGTGCCCAGGAAATAACATTTCTGCTTTGGGTTTTTCAGGTGCTTCTCGTAGATGGGAATGGCCTGCTCCATCCCAGAGGTAGGCTGTTCCTGAAGAGCCCTGCTCTCCTGCTCCTTGTGCTGCCCCTTGGCATTCATGTTCCCTGGTGGCCTACAGCTACAGTGGCTCCTTGTTGGCAGGATTTGGCATAGCCTGTCACCTCGGAGTCCTGACAGACCTGCCATGCATCGGTGTGGCCAAGAACCTCCTGCACGTGGATGGCTTGGCCAGGGATGAGCTGCACAGGGAGCAGGTTAGGCCAGGCTGGGATTTGTTTCTGCTTTTTCATATCCCAAGGGAATTTGCAACAACCACCTACAATTACGTGCTAATGAGCTGACCGGGTGTGTGTTTATCCCTAGGTTCGTTCCCTGCAGAGGTCAGGAGAGGCATTCCCACTGACAGGCACCTCGGGGAAGGTCCTGGGCATGGTAAGCTGTCACTTGGCCACTTGTCCCTCTCCACAGTGGGGCTGTCTCAGTGATCCCGTGCAGGAGGGCAGGTGTGAACAGGTGACCAGTGACACTGCTGGCTCCTCCCTGAGAGCTCAGGTGGCTGTAGGGAGTTGGCAGCTCAAGTGCTGGGAGCATTCGCGTCCATGGCTGTGGCACCTGAAGTGCTCCAGCAGCCTGAATGGTGAGCTGCAGTCTGGGAGAGGTGCCAGTTCCCTGGCAGCTTCCCGGGATCGGTCTGGGAGCGGCTGATTCAGAGCAGAGTGGGAACAGGCAGCTGGGAGACACTTCCCGTGTGTGCTGTCAGCCTGGGCTGGCACAGCTCCTGCATCCCAGAGCATCCTCGGGCAGCTGGGGAAGGGCCACGGGGGACAGACACTCCCTGCAGGAGACACTGGGATGGGGAAGATGTTCAGCAAGGTTGGGAGCTCCAAACACAAAGCCACCACCCCACCCGAGGGCTCTGGCTGGCTCCTAATTCCACTGCCCCTCTGTGTGTGTTCAAATGAGCCTCTTCAGTGCCTGATCTGTCCTTTCTGACTGCCCAGGTGCTGCGGAGCTGCAGCAACAGCTCCAAGCCCCTGTACGTGTCCGTGGGCCACCGGGTGAGCCTGGGCACGGCCGTGCGCCTGGTCAGGGCCTGCTGCCGCTTCCGCGTCCCGGAGCCCATCCGGCAGGTACGGCGCCGAGGGGAGGGAGCGGGGGCAGCCTGCCGTGTTTGCCGAGCCCTGGGCTGCTCCAGAGCCTCGCCTTGCCCCTCCTCTGCTGGGGACACCCTCCTGCTGGGCAGTTCCCCCAGCCCGTGGTGGTGCTCACTGACCCTTCCAGGCCCGTTCTCCTGACGCAGTGCCCAGCAGCATTCCCAGCCCTGCCTGCAGACCCAGCCTGATTGCCTGCTTCCTCTCTGCAGGCAGCTCCCCATGCTGGTGTTAATCCCCAGGAGCTGGGAATGCAGTTTCCCCGGGCGCTTGGAGCCCGGCACGGCCTGCAGTGCTGCTCCTCTGGGCCTTTCCCGCTGCCGCACTCTGCACGGAGCCAGCAGCCAGCAGGTGACAGCACTGCATCACTGTCACCGAGCTGCAGCTGCCACCGAGGCTCGGCCTTGGCTGATTTGAAAGCGCAGCAGAACTTGGGGAAAGGCTCTGGAGAAGCTCAAAGCCTCTGGGACTTCTGGCCTGGCAAGCACTTCCTTTCTCCCTGAGGTCACTCTACTGTTGGTGGCTCCACGGCCCAGAGCCAGGAGTGACCCCAGGGCCTGCCTGGGTTTCCCTGTCCCTAACACTGTCCTGGGACAGCCCATTGGCATCGCTGCTGTGCCAGGCTGGTGCGCTCATGGGTGTGCCCACCTGAGCAGCCCGCGGGGCTGGGTGACCCCACTGGGCGCTGCTCCAGGGCTGCAGTGTTCCCTGGAACTGTGACTCTGCTTATAGACTACCCCAAAATCTTAACTCCGTGGAGCAAAGCAAGCCTTGGGGTGTCCAGAGCAGAGCTGCAGTTTCCAGTCTCAGCCCCAGTACCTGCCAGACTGGAGGAGGCTGGTGCAGCTCCTTATGTAACCTGCTCCAGCCAGGGACAGATGCCTCTGCAGAGCTCCGAGCCAGCTCTGCAGTCTGCGTGTTCAAAGGGAAGGGAGAAGCATTCCCTTTGGAAACAGAAAGGTGTCTTGGAGCTTTTCATCACCCTCATTTCGCTTCCAGCCATCTCCAGGATTTGCTCATGTTCAGAGACTCTTCTTGTTCCCTGTGACCTTTTTCTTAGAGTGAGGGAATGAATTATTACTACTTTTCTTACAGAGAGATGAAAAATCCAACAGGGGAGTGTGTTTACTCTAGAGGGATGGCAGGAGATGAGGGCACTTAAACCTTTCCATGGGACTTGTCCCTGCTCTGCTTCCTCTGTGTGGTGACTGCCACAGGTCTTGGCACAGGCAGAGCTGAAAGCTCAGCTCTTGAGCACCTGTAGCTGGAGTTAAGAAGCAGGAGGCTGTGGAGAATCCTGCCACAGGTGGCTGTCATGACCTTTTTGCCATGGTATGTCACCAGAAATTGCAGACCTGATAGGAGAAGTGCTTACAGATTTCCCAGTGGCAGGAGTGACTTGGGGATCATCAAGTCCTGGTCTGGAAGTTCTGGCAGCTCTGGAGATGGAGTGGTGTGTGAGAGCTCAGCTGCCCACATCTCCTGAGGTTTGTGTGAGGGCAGCATGTGCAGTGCAGCCGCTGTGGGAGCTCAGGCCTCCTGCTTATGGGGATGTGGTGCTTCCCAGGAATGCACATTATCCAGGCAGGGAGCAGGAAGGGTCCATTTGCATTCAGCCCACAGTGTGGTTGTGCTGCCAAGGATTTGGCTGTGGTGCAGATGAGAGAAGTGAGATCTCTCCTGGAGGAAGCAGGGGGATGAGCTGCCCTTGTCACCTGCAATCAGTATTTACATCCCACTCAGTCCTTGTTCCACGTGCCAGGCCAGGCCCAGCCATGAGAGCTGTGCTCCCTGGTGAGGTCCTGCCTGGAATGTGGGAGCTCCCAGGCAGGAGCTGAGGTAGGCAGGAGCTGCCATCCCAGAATAATCAGCACAGCACTCACCCTGAGTGGCCCTGGAGCAGCCCCAGACCCTGCTGAGAGAGCTGCCCTTGCTCCTGGCAGAGGTCAGACCCCTCCCTGGTGCTTGCCCTCGCTGCAGCCTGCTCGTTCCCAGGTCCCTGTGCCCAGCAGGGAAGCACAAGCTGGTGCCACTCTCCAGCTGCCAGGGGTTGCCCTGGGAGCCTGCTCTGCTCTTTCTGGGTCAGGTTCCTGCTTGGCTGCTCCCCAGCCTCCTCCTCACTTGCTGCTTCCTTCAGCTGCCCCTGAGTGCCCAGCGGGTTTGGGGTGGCTCAGGAGGGGGCTGCTGCCCACCAGGAAGGGCAGGCCTGCAGGTCACCCTCTGTGAAATGCTGAGCACTTGCCCTCAGAAGAATGAGACAAGGCATCAGCCTCTCCTCTGGGACTGAGCATCGGTCACCGGTGTCCTCAGACTCCAGCTCCCTCTGGGAGCACCCCTCCAAGCCTGCTGTGCACAGGGACCACCCTGGCCCCTCAGGTAACAGGCAAAGCAGCATTTCCACAGCCAGCACTCATCCCCTCTGAAAATAACTCAGATCTGTGGGGATTATTGCTGGGCAGTGATCCATCTTATTGATTAGCCTGTGGTTAATCACCACCTTAAGCTGACTCCAATGCTGTGTTAGGAGTGAGCCCTGCCTGGGAACTGCCACCTCATCAAGCACTAGCTGATGTTCTCAGCAGAATGTGGTTGGGGTTTTTCTTCCGTAGAAAAATAGTTGGTAGCTGTGCCTCCTGCTCCTTGCTCTGCCCATGGGGACTATTGAGCAGCCTGCTTCCCTGGTTATAAAATCCATCACGTAATCGCTCATCCTGAAGAGTGATCAAAGTTATTTGTCAGTTCGGTTATGAAACTGTCCAATTATAGAGAGAAGGGAAAAAAATCTCCCAAACAAACCACCCCTTATGTAACTCTCTCCTTCTCAGCTGGCAGGAGGCTCTGCAGTTGTGGAGCAGGTTCCAGCAGCAGGCACAGCCTCCACCAAGGGCTCAGGGTGAGGGGCCTGGGGGTGCAGGAGAGGCTCCTGGGGAGCAGCACAGGGTGGAGAGCAGCACATGCTTCAAGGACAGTCCTCAGGGATGTGTTAACCCAGTTTCTGAGCTCGTCACCAGACACTGTGAAGCTTTTCCAGCTGAGAAGGTCACATCCTGCTTTGTAGGTGGGGAGAGACACTGCCTTTGAGGTGGGCACAGCAGCTGCTCGGAAATGGCACAAAAGTTTCTAAAAGAGAAAAAACTTTGAAGGACTGTAAAAATCAACTGCCAGTCCTCAAAGTTGTCCAAGAGGCTGGGATGTGCGTGTGATGTATCAAGGGTCTGCTGGTGGTGTCGTGCAGCACCAGAGGGCTGAGCCAACACCTCAGGGTGGGGGCAAGAACACCCAGTAAGTGCCCAGCAACACTTTCTAACAGTTCCTGGGATGTGGTTGGTGCTCTCCTTGCCCCAGGCTGTTGTGCCTTCCTGAGCCATCCAGTGTTCCTGGTGGGATGTGCTGACAGCAGGGTGGATGGGCACACTGGGATAACAGAGGAGGCACCAGCCAGGCTGCTCAGCCCATGCTCACTCCTTTTCCTGCTTGCTTCCAGGCTGACATCAGGTCCAGGGAGTACCTTCGGAAGCAGCCCTGTGCTCCAGTGGAGGTGCTGGAGACTGTCCCTGCCAGCCCAGAGAGGTGGGTGTGCGGGCAGAGGGGATCTGCTCGTGGCCTGAGCTGCAGTAATGGCATTAAAGGTACAGGCAGGGTAACAAGGTGAGCTCAGTGGGGAGGTCAGGACATGTGCTGCCTCCGGAAGGTGATTTCTGCTCCGTGTGGCCACGCTGCCTCACACGTTGCTTCTGCCAGCACCGTGTCCTGAGCTGGGGCAGGGCAGCAGGGATTTGGTCTTTTTTCAGCACTGGTCATAAGCAAAGCCCTAACTCCCACAGGTGTGACCTGAGAAATACCTGCAGGGAGCTGGTTTTGGCCCCCAGGTCCTGGGGAGGGTCAGAGTCCCCCACTCTTACATAAGGTGAGCCAGTGTCAGTTCAGGGCTAAATCTGACTGAGGTGCCCGGAGCCCAAACTCACCAGGTGACAGTTGTTTGTGCCTGTTGGCTTCTACTTTTTTAAAAACTACTTCCTACTTTCTCATTTTTGTTCCCAGCAGCAAAAAAGAGGCTGGATCGGAGGATTAGTCTGGTGCCAGAAGAAAGTGCAGAGCTTCTCCTCGCTGGGTCCTCTCCTGCACCAAGGCTGAGTCCTGCTGGATGCAGGAGCCCAGTGCCACCCCGAGGGACAGCTGTGCCAGGCTGTGTCCCACAGGACAGCACCAGCCACTGCTCAGGGAGAGTCCATGCAGTGAATTTCTCAGGGTTCTTTTTCAAGTACTGTTAAAATCTTTGTGTAAGCAAAGGCTGACGTGTAAGTGTGCAACACCTCACCGGAGTCCTTGTGCAGCTGCAGGGGCTGATTTACAGAGATGCTGAGGCATTGCCACTGCAGAGCCAGCCTGTGACTCCCACCACACCTCTGTGGCACAGAGCCCTCCCTTCCCACTGTTTCTGGAGCAGCTTCCCCCTGTCCCTACAGCCTGGGCTCTCCCGTTCCCCTGCACATCTCTGGGAGCAGCAGTCCCGCTGCCCAGCTCTTCTGGAAGAAGGATCATCTAAGGAAAAGGATGGGAGGAACCATCTCCCTCCCAGGAGCATGGGGACGTCATTCCTGGCACACAGAGCGCTCCAGGTGCCCAGATCCCAGGCTGGAGATCTGGCCCAGCCCCAGCTCGGCCTGAGGAGCCCAAATCATCCTCAACCTTCATCCAGCCTGCAGGACCAAAGCTTCTCCCAAGGTTTGGGATCCTGGATGAGGTTGGCAGGTGGTTCCTGACTGTTCCTGAAGAGCAGCAGGAGCAGAACGTGCTCTGGGAGATCTTGGTGTGGCTGTGTAAGGTTCCAGCCTGAAGAGGAAGAAGGATGCTTTCCTGGGGGTGGGGAGGGGTGATCAGGTCAGGCCCCCATGGTTGTTTAACCTCAATTTTGCATACATTTTATTGTACAGCTTTTGTTCTTTTCTGCTCTGGGTGGGAAGGAGAAAACCCAGCCTGTTGTGCCTCTGTTGTGTTGGGGTCTGAGCTGTCCCTCCTGAACCTGCTGGGAAAAGGAGGAAGTGACAAATTCTGCTCCCCTGGGCAGTTCTGGGGCTGGTCCTGACAGTGCTGGAGAAGGGGACAGGCACTGACAGGTCCTAAAGGGCAAAACTGCAGCTCCCAGGCCCCATGCAGGAGCTGCTCTCCTGGGAACCCTCGGAGCTGCTTCACACCAGGGTTTGTCTGTGGGTGGACAGAGCCTGCAAGGGAAAACCACAGTGGAAGCTGCTCCTTTGATCCTGAGCAGATCCTGAGGGCTGCTGCCAGGCCAGGGGCAGAGGGAGCACTGGGCTGGTGCCTGGCACTGGCTGTGGCAGGGGACAGGGGACACGGGGACAGCCGTGTCCCCTCCCTGCACAGACACAGCCTCCTGTGCCAGGCTTGTCCTGCCCCGAGGGAGCAGGGACAGCCACAGCCAGCAGGGATCAGTTCATTCCTCATTCCAGCCCCACACAAACCAGTGACTTCTCTGACCATGGGGAGTGTCCTAAAGCCTGTCACAAATTCAGGCACGAGTGACAGCGTGGGCAGGGGACAGCTCTTTCCTGCACCTCATGGCCAGAACACCATGGAAATCCATCTGGCTTTTCTGCTTACTTTGGCCTGTGCTAGGAGGTCACAGGGTCATCCCTGGCTCCTCTCAAATTCTGGGTGACACCACTCCCACTGCAGAGTCAGCCCAGGTGTGCTGAGTGAGGCTCCTCATTGGGTTCAGCTGTGCTGGAGGAGCCTCTGTGGGGAGCAGGGGAACCTTCAGTGTGTGGGACTGTGACTTCTCCTGCCCCAGTGAGTGGCTGGCTTTACTCTCATGTTGACTGTCTGTGGGTTTAGTCCCTGATTTGTTGGTGATTTTGGGGTCTTTTTGTGCTTCTGGTTGGTATTTGACAATAAGAGATTTGGGCTGGGCTGGTCAGGAGAGGCTCTGCAGCTAAAGCTGTGATTTGGGTGGAAGCTAGGGGAATTGAGCCCAGCTCAGACAGGAATATGAGGCTGGGGCTCTTCAGGGGCTGTTGCTGGGTGCTCCTGCTGGGATCTGGGTGTTTTGATCCTCAGAGGGTCTGTGTGATCAGCTGGGAGGGATCCAGGGCTGGGGACACTGCTGTCCTTGGCTGGCCTGAGCACCCCCAGCTGCCTCTGCCTGGGGGATGAGGGAAAATCGGGTGGGGAAGAAAAAAAGAAAACAACATAAAAAATGGCTCTGCATCACTTCCCCAGCTTCCCTCTGCGTGAGGCTCTGAACTCCTGTCCTTCCAAGTGCAGGTAAACTCAGATGACTCTGGATGAGGTCACCTGGGGAGACCTTAGGAGGGGGATGGTGCTGCAGTGTCCTGGCAGCCCCCGGGCAGCCCTGCTGGAGCCGGGGCTCTGTGCTGCTGCCTTTGGGCTTTGCCTGTGCCTGGGATGCTCTTCCAGCTGCCCACATGCGAGTGCCTAAAGGAAGGGACTAATCTCTGTGTTTGGTGTCTGCTTGTGGCTCTTTGGACACAATAAGGGATTAACTTGGTCTTTATCTAATTGGTTTATAACCTTGGGAAGGGAAAATCGCTTTGTAATGCTTGAAGCCTCTTAACAGAAACTCAGAGACTGGAGCTTGAGTGTCCTTCGAAATAAACTCATACATGGCTTGTCTTTTTTAACTCTCTGTTTGCTGGAAATTGGCTTTTCTGGGTGTAACTTGTTGGAAATCAGAGGAGAATACTGATTGCTGACTGTAAATCCTCCTGTTATCACCAGTGGGGTTTTCTCACCATTTCATCTGGGACTGGTTGGGAGACTCTGGAGGTGTCTCAGGGCTTGGTCACCCTGTGCTGCTGGGGAATGAGCTGTGAGGTTGGGGCAGGGATGTGGCTGCCCAATGATGGCTCCTGGCTGACAAACTGGGGCAGAATTGACTTGGGGTTGGGTTTCCTGACTCCCAGATGCTGAATGGTTCTGCTGCAGGTGCTCTGGATCTGCTCCCTCCGTTGTGTTTGGAGCTGAGGAAGGAGGATCCCTGCCCCTGCCTTGCTTCTCTCGTCCCAAGGAGGTGCTTTAGGATGCAAGTCTGCTTGTTCTGTGGGTTCTGAGGGAGTCTGGGGAGCAGCTCCGTGCCAGGTGTCTGAAGCTGGGTGGGATGAGCTCCCACCTCGGTGTCTGGAGCTGGTGGCAGTGTAGGTGCTGCCTGTGCAGTTTGAGCTCCAGTGACTCAGGCTTTGTATTTTGGGACGCTCCAGCCGAGGACGGGGGATGCATTTCACTGGGATTTCCCCCCTCCCTGCCCCCGGTTCTCGTTCCTCTTCCCTCTGGCTTGGTTGGGTGGGTTTAGGAGGGGCTGTTTCCCTCCTGATTCTCCAAACCAGGTCCAGCTGCAGGTCTGAGCCGTGGTCTGGGTGTGCAGCTGGGCCAGGCAGCTGAGCCCCCTCCCTTCCCCCATTCCCAGAGCATTGGAATTTGTGGGGCTGGCTGGGGCAGCTGTGTCCCTTGGATCTCAAAGCATTCCCAAGCTTTGGGCCCTGCTCTGACTCTAAATGGGCGTTTTTAGTGCTGGTCCCTCCATCCCGTGGCAGCTGAGGCCTCTTGGATGTGGTGGCTCCTGGATAGAGCCTGGGTGTGCAGAGGGAGCTGGGGAACATCATGGCTCCCTTGCAGGGCTTTTGGTTCCTTCTTCTTTTTTTGTCCTTTTGTCCTTTTTTTTTTTTATTTTTCCCTTCCTTTTGTCCTATAAATAGTTCTCCCCCCCAACTGCTCTTCCCGTTGTTGGTGTTGGTTGATCCTCCCTGATCCTCTCACCAGAACCCTGCCAGCACCCCCCCCCCCCCCCCATTCCCTCCCTCTCCCCCTGCTTTATTTTAAGGCCCCATTAATTAAAAGCAAATCAGTGGAATTTCTCTTGACAAGCAAATTAATAGCAAATGAGGTGATTATGAGCTGTGTCATTAGGGTGATGGAGCAGCTTGTGCAGGGCTCAGCCCAAAGCAAGGCAGCAAATCCGTGGGGCAGCAGATCTCTCTCTCCTATTGAGGGACTGGGGGCCCCGAGGGTGGGGACGTGGGAGGTGCTCCCTTCTCCTCCTGGGCTGCTGCGTGGGTTTGGTAGCCAAGGAGCCATCGCTGCTGAGCAGAGCCGGCCGTGAGACGCCGGGGCTGGAGCAGGAGGAGGGGGCAGAGCAGAGGTGCCGAGGGGTGGCCGCTCTTGGGGGTGCAACCCACGGATGCTCAGGGGGTCCCCCATGAGCTGGGTCTGTCCATGGTGACACGCTGGGAGTGCCTCGTCCGCATCCCGGCAGCTGGATCAGCTTTTAAAACATGAACCAAGGCTCTGAAAGCTGCCCGTGATTAATTCCTGGGTTGGTTCCCACCTCGGGGGCTCCATGCAGGATGTTTCCTTAGGAACACGCTTTTTCCTGCTTTTCTTGGAGCGCCTGCTTGGCACGCCGCGCCTCTGCCTGCAGAGCCCAGCTGGTCACTGCCGGGCCGCGCTCGTGGGGCCGGGCCGTGCTCGTGGGGCCGGGCCGTGCTCGTGGGGTCGCGCTCGTGGGGCCGCGCTCGTGGGGCCGGGCAGCGCTCGTGGGGCCGGGCCGCGCTCGTGGGGCCGGGCAGCGCTCGTGGGGCAGCGCTCGTGGGGCCGGGCAGCGCTCGTGGGGCCGGGCCGCGCTCGTGGGGCCGGGCCGCGCTCGTGGGGCCGCGCTCGTGGGGCCGGGCCGCGCTCGTGGGGCCGGGCCGTGCTCGTGGGGCCGGGCAGCGCTCGTGGGGCCGCGCTCGT